GTGGTTCGGGCATCTGACAAGGATGCCTCCTGGGCACCTCCTGGGTGAGGTATTCCGGGCATGTCCCACCGGAAGGAGGCCCCGAGGCAGACCCAGGACACGCTGGAGAGATTATATCTCTCGGCTGGCCTGAAAATGCCTTGGTGTTCCCCCGGATAAGCTGGGGGAGGTGGCTGGGGAGAGGGAGGTCTGGGCCTCTCTGCTTAGGCTGCTGCCCCCGCGACCCGGCCTCGGATAAAGCGGATGAAGATGGATGGATGGAGAGTGGCATAGTGTTGCAGTGGTTAGCCTCACAGCAATAAGGTCCTGGGTTTAAATCTACTGGTCAACCACATTCTCACTCCTAACTCGTCAAATGTGCGACGCATAGTCAGGCTCCCTCTGCTTCACGTCTTCTATCCAATTTAAATGATTGGATAGAATCAGGCGTGCGGATAGCAATAGGAAGGTTATTCCATAAATCTGGTGCAGCTGAGGCAAACGCCCGGTCACCTCTGGACTTCAGCCGAGATCTTGGCTGCACCAGGAGTAACTGAGTAGATGATCTTAGTGCTCTAGCGTAAGTAATATTTATTTATCTAAGTAATATTTTTCCACACTCAGCATCATTTTTTCCACATTTAGATCAAGACCGGACAAAAACATGTCTTTGGGGTTATTTTTTACAACATTTACTAAAATATTTGCAACTTCTTATATTTAAAATACAATTTTAAATGTTGAATATTAAATCAAAATGTTAAATCTAAATATTATTTTTAAATCTAAATGTTAAATCTAAATGTTACAGGAAACCAAATATTTAGCTAACATGCAAATTTATTGAAAGGGTCAAGGGAAATGCCAAAACAAAAGCTTTACGAAAATCTCCGGCCTAAAGTGTGCCGGTAGAGGTCAGGTTTAAAACCAAACCCGACCTGGGAACGGAGAAAAATATATTTTTGTTTTGTTTTGCTTGTTTTATATGTCTTCTAGTTTTATTTCATTCATTCTGGGATTTGGATATAATTAATGTATGCATATTCTGCACACACACAAACACACATGTGGCTACTACCCATTTCTTGTTTTTAGACTTAAGATGGATTATTCTTGAATGAAGACATTGATCTGACACATGTAATATTTGGCTAATTGTCTTTATTGTTCCTCCATCATCTCTCTACCCTGTGTTCGCTTTAACACAGGGTAGAGAGATGATGGAGGAAATGAAAAAAAGGGGTTAAGGAAAAGGTAGAAGGGAGAAAAAGAGGTGAAAAGAAGGGATAGAAAAAAGGAAAGAGACAGAGGAGAGAAAACCCCAACAATCCCCTCTGAGCAAGCACTTGGCAACAGTGGTGAGGAAAAACTGCCTTTAAGCAGAAACCTCCAGCAGAACCAGGCTCAGGAGGGGCAGTCAACTGCTGGGACTGGTTGGGGGGTGAGGGTGAAAAGAGAGAGAGGGGGGGTGGGTGGAGGGAGATAGGAGAGGTGTTAGGAGAGAAAGGGAGAAGAGAGGTAAAAATTAAGATGGAACAGAGGTTGAGAAAGATGAGGCTATCAGGTGAAGAAGTAGCAGTGTCCCTCCTCCAGAACAAGCGGAAGCGTTTTTTCTTCTTTTTCAGTTGCTGTTCCACGAATACTTTTTTCTCTAGGATGAGGGTTCTCAATTCATTGAGTGTTTCTGCATTTTGCACCTTAAGTTTCTTGCATCTTTGCTCCACTTCTTCTAATTTTGCTTGTTTTTCTTCAAGCTTTTCTTTCAGTTCTTTAGATGCTGCCTTTTGCGCCTGCATTTCAGTGTTTTTGCACTTTAAGTTGTTAGAAAGTTCTTCAAGCTCTTCTGTGTTTTTTCTCAGCATTTCAACAATCCTACTCTGCATCTCTGAGCATTGTTTTTCCAGTTTTTCCTTCGCTACTTCCAGCCCAGTTGTTTTGTCCTTCATTTCAAAATAAAATTCTTGCAGTTTTAGATGCTTCCTCATGAAGTCCTGGGAAATAAGTTTTTCTTCTTTCTGTATTTCTTGCTGTTGCACTTTCTCTTGAAGTAACTCTTTCATTTTGTGCACTGTGTCATCAAACCTTTTTTCCAGCACTTTGTATTTTCCCTCCATGCTTTTGAGTTTGTCCTGCGTGCCTCTGTGCTTTATGTCCAATTCTTCCTTCTCATAAAGAATTTCTTTATTTCTTTCCAGCGCTTCATCGAAATTTGCTTGGAGCTCCTGATTCTTTATATTCATTTGTTGGAGGTCACACTTTAACTCCTTATTAATAGCTTCCCTGTCTTGAAGCTGCTTGGACATTTCTTGCAATTCAGCTCTTTTTTGCTTGATTTTGTTCCTCAGGAACAGAATCTGCTCTCGGGCTTGCGTTCTGATGTTAATTTGCTGGTCCTCAATGTTCTGAAGCTTGCAATCCATTTCTTTCTGTCTTTCTTGTAGTTGCTCATTCTCGTGAAGTAACTGTTCATTTTTGTCCAGTGTTTCATTAAGTTTTTGTTTGAGCTCCTGATTCACTGTGAACATTTGTTGGACTTCACAATGTAACTCCGCATTAAGAGTGTCACTGTCTTGAAGCTGCTCGGCCGTTTCTTTTAATTCAGCTTTCTTTTTCTTGTTTTTGACCATCAGGTTCATAATCTTTTCCCGAGTTTGACCAAATAAAATTCACCAGCCCTCATTAATAATCTTTATGTCAGGCTGGCGCCGCTTATCAGTTTGCTGGTCTTCTGTGTTCTGAAGCTTGCAATCCATTTCTTTCTGTCTTTCTTGTAGTTGCTCGCTCTCGTGAAGTAACGGTTCATTTCTTACCAGTGTGTCATCATGCCTTTTTTGGAGCACTCTGTATTTTTCCACCATGCCTTTGAGTTTGTGTTCCACGTCTCTGAGCTTTATGTTCAATTCTTCCTTCTCAAAAAGAAGCCTTTGTTGGAGCTCCTGATTATTTTTGTCCATTTGTCTACAGGCAGGAGAGTCAGTGTGAACTATTGGTCTTTTCTGGTGTTTTCTCTGAGACATGTCGTGGTCTGTAAACAGTGACTCTGAAAACAATCTAGATGTTTCAAAATACTTTTCGGGCAAACCTTCATTTTCTTCCAGCGCTTGATTAAGCTTTAGTTGGAACTCCTGAATAATTTTTTCCATTTGTGTCAAGAGAGGAGAGTTAGTGTGAACTTTTGGTCTTTTCTGGTGTTTTCTCTGAGACATGTCGGTCTGTAAACAGTGACTCTGAAAACAATCCAAATGTTTCAAAATACTTCTTTGGTGAAGCTTTGAAAGCTGCAAAAACAACTTCTGCCAATACAATTGCTGCAAAAATACTGACTACAAGCTGTTGCCTTTCTACCTTGTTTAAGGAAAATCTTCAAAGGACATTCCAGCACATCATTTTTGAATGGGGATTTTTTTTTTTGCTTGGACAAATTATCAGTAAAGTTTCAATCACATACAACAGAAAATAAATAAATAAATACAACAAAATAAAATGATATGAACAAGACAAAAACGGGTATTCTGTGCCAACAACATTGAGAGTAACGTCCCCCTCTCTGCCCCTTAATGCTCTCTCCTATGGTAACGCGGGGTCCGCTGTGGCCGGCTGGCTGAACAGTAGGCTAACGAGTAGGACCATTGACTGTAGAAAACACGCAGCCTCGCTGTTTCGCGGTTGTTTTAGTGCAATTTTGCTGCTTGAGTCATCCATTTGGTTGACTTTTTTTGGGGAAAATCGACCGTAAACAAGGTGCGAATATCACACCGAAAACGAAGCGCCTTACAGGAGTTTCCCCACCGGAAATAGCATATGCTATGGAGGAAAGGCTAATCAACGCCGTAGCAAACCCGCAGCTGTACGACACCAGTTCCTTTCTGTACCGAGACAGGAATAAAAAGGACCGAGCTTGGAGGAAGATATGTGAAAAGATCGGGCAACCTGGTAAGTTCATTCATTTCTCTTTTGAAATTTTTGACTGAGCCGAAGCCGCGCAAAAACTATTAGTACAATAGTACTAATAGGAAGGAATAACAGAGTTATGAAGATACTTGAAAACCAGATAATTTTTGAATTCTATATATAACCCCTTTGTAAACCCTGTTCACCAAAGTCTATTTACTAACAAACGTAAAGCTATTACACATAAAAAATACACAGAAACATTGGAAATCACTTTTTGGCACAACACTGTCTCGCTATTTTCCCACTGATGTACAAATACCTTTCTGCTTTTATGCATGTTGTTATATAGGAATATATGTTATTGTTTATTAATAAACAGCACACAGTGGTCCCGCTGTTCATGTTGCCTCGCTTTTTCGCAGATTTGTTTATTACACAGTACAGCTTTCAACAATGCGCATTGCATTCTGCAGCCTGATTGACAAATCTCCTCCGTGTCGCGTCTCCTGCACTTGCCAAATTTACCGTGTTTGGTTTTGATAACCATCACGTCCAATAGAAAAGACAACACAAAAACACCCATAAATGACCCTCATAACTTTTAATAATTTGTTATTTCTTACTCAGTTCAAACTGTGGGTAGAAAATGCTGTGCTGTCATCTGACCTGTTCTCTCGCTCTCTGTCTCTCTCTCTCTCTCTCTCACACACACACACACACACACACACAAACACACACACACACACACACACACATCTCACACACAAAAAACAAACAAAGGTTTGTCATATCGCTTACAAATGAAACAACCTTATATAAAAAACACCAGCATGCTCTCACCCAGGTGATACTTGAGCATACCTGACAGCTGCTGAGGGTCACCTGGACACAGAAACACAAACAGGTCTGATCTCATTTCCTTCTTCATGCTAAGCTCTGCTATAAGCCACAACTTGCTTTGCCCCGTGTTTGTAGATGACTGGAATCAGAGCAGAGTCTCTGCATGTCTTTATTAGGGTGGAAGCTGCTACTGATATTTGTGCAGCAGACTAAACAAACAGTTTGTGAACATTCAGCATGTTCAGTCCAATCAAAAAGCAGGAAAATATCCCCACTGAGAAATCTCTACAAGGCACCTCTCAGCATAAGCTGCTGTAAAGAAGAGAGACGCTTTACACACGTGTGTGGAAAGTGTCCATGTGGATAAATTAAGAATGTGAATGAAGAGAAGCTGTGTAGTTGAATAAAACTCACACATCAGCCTGCTGAGTTCATCCTGCGGCAGTGCATTGAAGGCATCGTCGTTGGGAGCGAAGAAGGTAAACACCTTCTCCTGGTTCAAAAGCTCAGTCATACCTGCTGTCTGGATGGCACTGACCAGCATGCAGAAACAGCATTAAATGATGTCAGCTTGAATAGAAACTACACAACAACACACTAACACCTCTGTTTGCTTTCAGTCCATATGCTACACCCGTGGGAAGCAGAAAGCTTGATGTGGTCTGCAGAGTCACTAAGCAGACAACCACCCACAAACCAGACCTGGGACATGTTTCCTTTAGTTAGTTTGCCAAGTTCACACAACACAATACACAGCAAACTACCACTGAAAATAAAAAAAAAACGATTTAAAATATTTTAAATGAACTAACTGAAGCAAAATTGACTCCAAAACAACTATAAAACTATAAAAACAGACGATTCTGTCCACGGGTGCAAGAAGAACAACCTCAGTCCTTGAAATTAAAACAGGAGTACCAGAATTAAAAGCCAAACATCTAAAATCTTCAACGTAAAAACCAAAAAACCAACAGGAAGTATAACTGAAGAAATCGACTTTCTCCCTGGAAGGGCAGGAAAAGTCTCCTGTATCGGTTACCTGTGTCCTCTGGGCTTTGCTGCATGCATTTAGTGATTTCATGCGAACACGAGGATCAATTATTGTCCTGTGAAGGTCTCTGTAGCTTACAAAGAAAAATGAATTAAAGAGACACACACACACAGAGGCAGCTAGACGAGGTAAAAACACTCCTGACTTCCTCTGTGATTTGTGGACAGCTGCAGTGAAGAGCAGCGCTGTGTCTGATCACACCACCTCAGTCGAGTTCAACACAAGTCCAGGTCTGGAGTCGAGTATGAAGACCGAGTGCCAGCAAAGTCAGGAGGCTGGAACACACGTTTACAGACTTTTCATTTCAGATGTGTTACTCCCCAGTCTAGGGGTACAGGAACGTAGCAAACGTAACAAAAATACACAGCCGGTGTTCTGGGAATCCATCCTACCTGACAAACCATCCTACCCGTTGTTCTGCACATGCGCACAACACGAAATTAAGTGGCGAATCGTCCTACCTTTATGAATATTAGCTAGAAGCATACTTTAACGGCTACAATTAAGTGGCAAATCATCCTACCTTTGTTAATAAGAGCTAGGAGAGCTGCTTTTGAGACACTAAGAACTCTGACTGTAAGCTTGACATAAGCTTCCTGCCCTTAGTCTCACTTCGTAGTACAATCCTGAGGTGATGGGAATGAGTCCGACTCCAAGAATCTGCTCGAACTGTGGCTGTAGTGTGAGGGACATGCTGCCCAATCATGGTTTACAAACCCTAAATTAACATGAAAAATTCTTCTTCTTTTTTAGGAATTGAAAGTTTTGAAAACATGTGAACTTTATTGATTCACTGATTCATTTATGAGTGTGGAGTCTAAACTCAGACCCCGCTGACTCAGAGAGTTATTCCCGTGAATGAAAAAAGAAGGCAACAGTATTGATCGATTTACTTGCGCAAGGGAGGCCTCAGTCGCTATCTCAGAAACGCGTGTGTGTGTGTGTGTCTCTGTGTGCGTGACTTCCTGATCACAACTGTTTCTAACAACATCCTTGGTCATAAAGGGGGTAATCTCCCCCACACCCAATGTATGGCTCAATTCCTGTATTGGTTCACCATACACAACACAGTGAAGCCATAAAAAGGGCAGGAACCCCCCCTAGTGGTGCTCTATGTGAGTAAAATGACGCTGAGCGGTCTTGTTTTTGAATACCATGTTATTAAATGTGTCTGTTCTTCTTTGCAGCCTCACTGATAATTAGATAAGAGAAATCTGCATTAAACTGCACAAATTGTTGACGGAAGTTGTCCTTCCGTTTTTGGTTATGCCACTGCACCCAATGGTATCTTGATCCCACGGGCCCTGTTGAAACTGTTATTATATACCCCTGAATTAGAGGATGACTCTGCAGTATACTCACAGCTCACCTGGACCTGCATTTATGCCAAGTTGAATTAGTTACATCAGTCATTTTGGTCAATTATTTTGTGCCTATTTTAAAAATCACGCCTTTTAGGAGTAGTTACTGCCATGATAGCAACAAAATTCAAATATTTTTAGAAATCTGTTTTTAATAGTTTGATGTTGTGCTTCCATTGACCTTATCAATGGTCAGATATTTATTTGCCTGCTTTAGTCTCTTATATGTGGGTGCACTTGATGTGTGTCTTTGTATAACTGGAGGGGACTTATTAACATGCACATAGTTGATCACCTCACTTGATTTGATGCCTTCATGGGCCTTAAGGTTTAAAGCTTCAGCTGAAACCGCTCACATTTTCTTCTTCTTTTGGCTGTTCCCTTTATGGGTCACCACAGAGGATTATTTCACCCTGTCCTCAACACCCTCTTCTGTCACACCAACCCTCTGCATGTCCTCCTTCGCTCCATCAGTCTTCTCCATTGTCCTCCTCTTTTCCTTACTTCGAGGCAGATCCATCTTCAGGATTCTTTGTCCAACATGTCGAAATGATCTCAGCCTTGCCTCTCTGACTTTGTCTTCAAAGTGCTCAACCTGAGCTGTCCCTATGATAGACTCATTTCTAATCCTGTCCATTCTGATCACTTCCAGCAACCATCTTAACATCTCCAACCATCCCACCTCCAAGTCCTCTCAAAGGACACAACTGAATCAAGTAACTAATGCTTCCAGTGAAGAGCCACAGTGGGGAAATAATGGACCCCGAGGTGTCTGTGCTGCTGCACTGTGCACACTGGCAAGGGCTGCTCGGGTCTCAAGTACAAGTGGAGCTTTCCGGGAGGGAAAAAGGCGCACAAAAGTGGCGCGCAGACGAAGGAAAACCCTGGAAAATAATACTTTTACGTTTTGAAATCTACAAAAGTTTGCACTTTGAGAATCAACTTGTGAGAACTGCGAGTAATGCTCATGTATGTGTGAAAAAAGCAGGCTCTCCAGGGCAGAAACAATGTTCTTATTTTTCTCCTCCTTCTCCCTGATGCTCTTCCACTTTAAGCTGGGTCCTTTTTATTCCTGTCTCTCTGTAAATAGCTATATTTTATATATTTATGTTTAATGTTTTTCTGTTTGAGAATTTTAATATTATTTCAAATTTTTGTAATGACTAATGTCTCAGTTCTATTACACGGCAAATATTGGCACACAGCTTGACATATGTAGAATTTATTTCATGTTATACTAATGGAAAAATATACTACTATATAGGAACATAGTGAAGACCAATTATTTAAGAGAATAAAGAGAAGTTAGTTTATTTTGGAGGCAAGCTCCATTTATTAAGAAATTCTTTTTTAAAAAGGCAGGAATGCTCTTTAGATGTTTGTGGGTGGCTCAGAGCCGTTGTGGGGAAGTTACTGGGACTTCAAATGGGCTATTCTTTTGTCTGCCAAGACACTGCTCCCTCCTTTGAGAAGTGGGCCATGAACTTCTCCCTCACCAGGACAGCCTCTCTGGAGGAGTTGTTGGCTGCTACACGACCCAGGCCTTTTTTGCCTTTTTTGAAAAATTAACCTGTGATAAGACATAGCATATCAAGATAGAATTGTTATTATCATATAACTAAAGAGGAACTGTTCACATTTTTATCTAGGTCTGAGTTTTAAGAAAGGCTGGTGACCCCTGCTATAGAGTCTGACAGCTGCAGGGATTATATACAAATATTCAACTGGTTCTATACCAGAATTAAACCAGGTCTAAATACAAAAAAAAGGACCTTATAAGATAGACCTTGTGAGTATCACTGGAAATATTCTAATCAGTTGTCTCCATACCACAGTTTACTATCAGTTAGGCAGTTGATGGCGGTAACCTCGGTCGATATATCCCGGCTCCCTGTCACGTAAAATTGGAAGAAGAAAAAAAAAGAGCCAGAATAAAACTTTCTACTACACGTTAGTACCATTCAAACAAAAAATAAAAAATGTTTAGTCAAATGAGAGCACAGAGTGCAATAGTTTTAAGGCTGATTTACAGAAATTGCATTTTTTTCTAAACACGGGAGAAGTCCTCTCATTTCAATTGTGACATTTAAACTACAAAAAAATGAAGACAATAATTTTTTTTATTGTTAAAAATCAGCACAGTTGGAAGTAAACTGTGTGTAGCAAACATTTGTTTGATGAGTTTGCTCACTTGATTTAAATGTCTGTGAAGGTTCTCAGTCATCCAGTTCATCGTAGTCTAAGGAGCTTGGAAAGAAAAGCATCTGGACTTCTTTGCTAGAAGACGTGGCGCCTCTCATCCGAGAAGCTTCTTCAGTTCTAGGGTCAGATGGTGGAGAGCCCCATGGTTCAAGCTTCCTCTTCAGTAACCATTAATAGGGACCAAAGATTTGTCACATTGTCCCCATAAACATGTTTTTATAGAAATCATTGTGACACAAATATTTAGATTCTTATTTCACAATGTGCATGAACTCAAAATCTTTAGTTTCATATTTATAAAGTATCGAAAACAAGGGCGTAGATTTGGCATGGAAGGAAGGGACATGTCCCCACCAATATCCAGTGATTATTGAATTGTCCCCACCAATAATTTGATCTCTTCGACTAAAGAAAAATTAACCCGATAGAAAAAAAGATGGGTAAGGTTAACATTGACTCGAATGAGATTAAACAATGCTGCTGTATGTCCACCAGGAGAGACTGGACAGTATAGATGTAAAACCAATATGCCAGCAGTTTATCTCAGTTAACAAGAGGAGCAGGCATGTGTTTGGCTGCTTCACATAGTGGACATTGAGTTGTTGTGTGGGACACCAGTAGTCCGTCTCTGTTGCTGTAACAGTAGTTCATGTTTAGAATAAAAAAAATCCCAGCTCACTGAGTTGATCGGGCCAATAGTGCCTAAAATGTTGCATAAAATCGCTGAGAGATCTTTTACTTTGTGGTAATCTTAGATGAGTAGTTTTATGGACAAAACCCACCAGGTCATTCAGTGTTCCCTTAGTACTAATGTATAACAGATGTTGGTGTAACTGAAGTAATGTTGTTAAGTCCTTAAAGTCATAGTCTTTTATTGTCATGACTGTATTTGAAGCTATTTTTATGTTTGTATGATACCTGATTTATATGGAATATGATTGAAGTAAACTAAAGCCTAAAATACTTAGTCAGTCATTTGTTTAATAGTAATTTAACATATATAATTCAAATGTAAAACTATGAATTGTAATTTTAAATGGTTTAAAAGCATGTAGAATAGCATATGTAGGCAAGTATATTTCTCCTTTTTTATCAAGAAGCAAAGACAAAAAGGGGAAAAAAAGAAACAGGGCAGGGTTCGGTGGTTGAATCATCCGTCCCCACCAATGCCAAAACCAAATCTACGCCCTTGATCGAAAAGAATACATTATTGCAATGTATGAGCTACACTTCTTGTAAAAAAAAAAAAAGCTGATTGGAAATGCATTAAAAAAAAAAGCTCCTGCTGCACGAATGCAGACCTCCACTGTACACACACACACACACACACACACACACACACTACACACACACACACACACACACACACACACACACACACACACACAAAAGACTGGTGGACCTAAATCTTCACCTCCAAGTCCGTTCACATACAAGAGGAAGAAACTACGCTGGCTTTGAACACACACCATTTATTTCCATAAAAAACACAGCCAGAATCACAAATACAAGTTAAAATCCCCCGTATACAATAAAAAAAGAGTTCTCAATGCGCTAAAAACCCTGCCGGCAGAATTAACTATACACTATTAAAACAAAGCTAAACGAATGTCTCCCATATGCTAAAATTCCCCTCCCACAGTCCCATAATCCCGCAGTACAGCCACACGCGGGCGAATGTTCCTTATCTGACACAGGAGAGGAATTTCTCTTCCGGGATGGAAACCACGCCGGGCAGAAGAACAAGGAGGGGGCTCCTGTCGCAGACCTGTCTCCTCCTGACAGCACGTCGCCGCACAGTCTCGCCCCACTCCACACCTATACCTACCTCCCTCGTAGCACTGTCAGATGCAGGCAGAGGGGCATCCCTGCCCTGTTGTGAATTGCAGCCATCGCCACCCACTGTTGCTGTTCCTGCCGTTGGGACTGGATCACTGAACGACTCGTGGCACCCCACAGTCAGGCAGCAGTTCCTTCAACACACGTGCGGGCTTACACGCGTTCCTTTTTCTCCTGCTCACCTTTCATGCATCGCTTCTCTTGTTTCTTCTTCTTCTTCTTCTTCTTCTTCTTCTTCTTCTTCTTCTTCTTCTTCTTCCTCTTCTTCTTCCTCTTCCTCTTCCTCCTCCTCCTCCTCCTCCATTTTAATGGCAGTTGGCAAACAACCTTCTCTTGTCTCTGCGCTCACTATCTCCTTTAACAGGTCAGCCCGGCGGCTGATAGGGCATCTTAGTGAACGCCCCCACCTCACAGGTGCCTACAATTGTCTGCTTAGTCCACAGTGGATTAAAGGAATATGGTACAACAACACTAACACACATAATATAAATATGAGGATAAAACTATGCAATATAAATATCAATAAACAAACATGCAATATAAATATCACAATAAAATCATCTGTCTCAGCTGAACTATGGACACGCACACACATACACTTACACTGATAAGCACTCATACATCCCCCCTCCCCTTCCAATGCCTTTGATGCTTGTTGCCTCCTGGGAACACGAGGCGGGTCTGGGCCCGCGCTGGAGAGTCGGTGCAGTGGCAGGATGGCTGCTGTGTTGCCTGGGATTACTCCTCATCCCTTACCCAACCCTGTTGCTGGTCACGTGCTCCATAATGTTGTACTGTGGACATTTATGTGCTTTCTGTGCAGAGGAGTGTTTTTGTTTCCTGTTCTCATGCTGTCCTCTATAGCCCAGCATGAACAGAGGTCTCTTTTTTTCCTCTTGTACTTTCCCATTGTAGTGTATATTGCAGTGTTTTTTTCTGTAATGCAACCGTTCTCTGACTTGTATCCCCATGTGATGTCTGTGTACTGTGTGTAAGGTCGGGGGCGGGTTCATTCCACTGCCAGGCAACCTGCCACTGCTTGTGGCAAAAAAATTTGAACTTGAACTTGAACACACATTCACACACTGGTGATGGCAAGCTACAGTGTAGCCACAGCCGCCCTGGGGCGCACTGACGGAGGCGAATGGTGCCTTTCCAGATGTGTAAGGTGCCAATTCCATCTTCACCAATGTACCCCCATACCATCAGAGATGCAAACTTTTGAACAAGCTGGATGTTCAGTCTCCTCTTTAATCCAGACAAAGCAGCGTCCATGTTTTCAAAAAGAATTTCAAATTTAAATTCGTCTGACCACAGAACAGTTTTCCACCTCGTCTCAGTCTATTTCAAATGAACTCTGGCCAAAATTAGACAACAGTGATCTGGATTATGTTCACATCTGGCTTCTTTTGTAAACTCATATCGTAAACTGTTGCCATTTAACCATATTAGTTGCAAATTGTTCCTCCAGCTGTTTCATTTTAGTGTCACTGACTTTTCCAGCCTTTTGTTGACCTATTCCAACAAGTGAGCTGTTAGTTACGCTGCTGACATTTGGTAATAAACAGATAATCTTTAATTATGGTCTGTCTTGTAATTGTTATATTCAGAAAAATGGAACAGTGATCGACGATATAAAATTCCCCCCTGTTTTTAATACAGTGTGTGTATGAGCCAATATTTAACCAAGACTGTTTCTGATCAAAGACAAGCTGAGGACTTACAGCACCAGCAAAATGTTAAAAAACAAACAAAAAACAAGTCTCAATAAAATGGCATTATTTGAAACTTTTTTATTTTATTAAAATTTTCGATGTAAATAGATTTTATTATTTTACACAAATATAATGTAATATACAAGACAAGACATTTATTCATATGTTTAAATGACATGAAGCTTTGATTTCCATTTGTACGCAGAGATGTACACAGACACGTGAAGCATGGCTGTAAAGTTGCCTGTTTACAATATTTAAAATGCAACTTCAAAATAAACAGTCTTACAGAGTAAGCTTGATAATAAGATTAATAGCTGATGTACTCATGGAACCTATTACACAATACTGCAAGAAAATTGACTGAAAATATTTATTTGAGAAAATATCTTTTTGGCCAGGACACATAATACTGGGTGCATATTAAGTTGCATATTAAGGCATTGCAGAGGTCATAGTGTGTGCTGAGGCACAGGTGTAGATCCACTCCTCACGTTTGAGGTGTAAACTCACAGTTTCATTCAACTATCACATATCGAGCTGAGAACTATCATTAACTGAGGGTGTGTAAGTCCCTTCTTCACTATCTAGTCCCCTTCTTCCAGAGAGTGCTGTCCTTTTCCCTCCAATGCCATTCCAGCCTCATAGATAGCCCACTGCAGAGCAGCTCCAGCTGGCACCTTGGCAAAGCCTTTCTCTGAGATGTGGTCTATCTTAAGGTAAGCCCCAGGCCTGTGCAGGGCCACTCCATGGAGGTGGGAGAAGAGCAGTGGTAAGTCACTTGTCAGTACATAG